AATGACACATGCTTGGAGCATATCCTCCAAAATCTGAAATATCCGCACCGACTGCCCGTCGATCTGTGGATGAAAGGTTGTGATGAGCTCTATTCGGGCACCAAACTCGCTCTGAACTGCTCTCCAAAAACGTGAAGTGAACTGGGGGCCTCTATCTGATATGATGGAATCAGGCATACCGTTTAACCGTAAAATCTCCTGAATGTAAATCCGGGCCAACCTCTCGGATGAGTAAGTAGTCACCACAGGAATAAAATGTGCCGACTTGGTCAGCCTATCGACAATGAACCAAACAACATCAAACTTCCTCAACATCCACAACAACCCCCAACGAAGTCCATAATGATGCGCTCCTACTTCCGTTCTGGTATAACCATCTACTGGAGTAGGCCAACTGGCCTCTGGTGCTCATACTTGACCTGGTGGCAGTTTAGACATCTCGCCACAAACTCAACTATATCCTTCTTTATCCGCCGCCACTAATAATGTTGCCTCAGATTGTGATACATATTTATAGCCCCTGGATGAATATAATACCAAGAAATGTGAGCCTCCTCTAGAATTTTCTCCCTCAAGCCATCAACATTAGGAACACATAGGCGGCCCTGGAGCCATAGAACACCATCCTCACAGATAGTAACCTCCTTGGAACCACCCTGTAATATCGTCTCTCTATGAACCAACAACACATAGGCTTCTGCGAACTTCTTCCGCTTTTACGGATCCGCTTCTGCGGACTCCTTTCGCTTCTGTGTTCCACAGCCAAGCAACCCAAGTCCGCATCTACAGAGCCTCGATTGCATCAGCGGTCGCATAGATGCGAAAAAATCCCTGCATCTGCAACCACCCAACTCCAACCTCAAGTCCACTTCTGCGACCACTAGGCCGCTTCTGCGAGCTCGCACCTGTGGCCCCTTCCACGCAGGTGCGATTGCTCCAGATCTCAACCACTAGCAGTCCCCCATGACCAAATCTAAGTCCAATTCGCATCCGGGTCTCCTTGGGAACCCATCTAATTACACTAATGCATCCCACAACATAATACGGACTTGCTCGCGTGATCGAAACACTAAAATGACATCAAAACCCACAAATCGGATGCCCATATCACATGAATTCAACATGAAACTTAAAAACTTCTAAAAACACTTCTGAGCGTCCAATTCCTATCAAATCAACTCGGAATGACGCCAAATTTTGCGTGGAAGTAATAAATAACCATACGGAACTATTCTCCGGCTCAGAATCCAAATGGACCTCTTTAACACCAAAGTCTACTCCAAACCAAACTTAAAGAACTTGAAAATCCTTCAATGCGCCAACTTTCAATATTAAGCCGCCGAAATGCTCCCGATCATCCGAAACCCGATCCGAACACACGCCCAAGTTCAAAATTATCATACGAACCTACTAAGACCGCCAAATCCTGGTTCCGATGTCGTTTACCTAAAACGTCAACTCAAGTCAAACTTAACCATTATATGCCACTATTAAGGAACTAGGTGTTTCGATTTCAGCCCGAACCCTTCCAATCCTAAACCAAACATCCCTGCAGGTCATAAAAAACTAAAAGCACGTACGGGGAGTCTTAATTAGGGGAATGAAAATTTAGAAAACAAAATGACCGATCAGGTCGTTACAATATGTGACTTCCTCTTAAATTGGATAGAAATCTAACATATATATGATGCAATATTTTATTGGATAGTATAGTTATAGCCCAAAATAATCTAACATATCATTCATGTATATTTATATCACCATATCTGAAACTCATAAGGATCGTTTGGTACGCGGACTAAATTATTCCAGAATTATATTCCTTGAATTATAATTTGTAGACTAATTTTATCCCACTTCCTAGGTGGAATAAAACAATACCAAGTTTGATAGGATAAAGTGGGATGAAATGGGATATACAAAATTAAGTATAGGACTAAGCTTATACTATAGTTCGTTGACGGTATAAATTTATACTGTCAACGAAACATAATATAAATTTTGTACCACACTTTATTCCACCTTATCTCGCGTACTAAATGACCCCATACTGCGTAATGAATCATAATATGCCATGGATGCAAAATGCATAATAGAGAACATTCAAAATGTACACGATTTCAATACTTAGCTTCCAATAAAAGGCAATGCTTGCATTAGACATTTTCTTTATCAAGACCTGGAGCAATTCATAACCACTCATCCTTGTTATTGTGGGCAGGAATTATCATTAAAATGTTTTACTTAAAAGCTTATGACGTTCGAAAATCCAAAAAAGGAAGTTAGCCTCAACATAACTTTAGCTCGTCACTTAGTTACCAACTAGCAAGTAATGCCCGTGATGCACGGGCACATGGGGATATAAATTAAGATGATTTGGTAATTGTTACTAAGTGAGATAATATAGTTATAACTCTCTATAACAACATTCTTAGCATTTCACTATAAAAATCAAGATTTTCCGGAATCAAATATTATATTTTGTTATAATATATATTCTTTATAACATCAAAAAATATCCGTAACAACCAACATTGTTATAGAGATATTTGACCGTACGTTCATCTTTATCTAGTACTCGAGCAACCTTCATTCAATCTAACATAATATTTGCTCATTTATATTTTCAACAGTTAAATCTCATCAAAGAACACAAATTGGAGTAAGCTCCGTATAATATAATGTGATATTCAAAGAACCTATTAGGAAAAATATATTAGTAGTATAGAACAACAATTGTTACAACAACAACAACCCAGTAAAATTCACAAAGTGGGGTACGGGAAACGACTATATTGCTTAGTTGCGGAAATAAACATACCCCAAAATGGATCAAGAACGATATAATAAAGGCCTCCCGAGCGACTTGTTCCAGGAGCTCCCTTGGAACCGGGCTTGTAATGTAAGGCGCTTAACTAAGACATCTAATTTGAACAAGACAACCACTTATCTATTGCAGAAGAAGAATACTGCATTCATCTTTTATGTCGACCATACTTTGCACAGGAACGACGCAGTCAAAATCTATTCCTGCACAAACTAAACAAGGTACAAGTAGGTGAATTGCAACGGATGTTTTTCTGGAATTGAGATGCAACATTTCACTGTAAATACTTGTAGCCATGGTTTTACTGGAATCTCAAACTTACCAATGAAAGCAGCTAGAGGCAATCCCAGTCTTGTTATCCTTAATGATTTCATCACTAAGGAGAGCAAATAATTAGATATACCTTTTACAAATATTCAAAATATTAAGCACTCAATAACTCACAATGTCACGGTACCAAAGAGCAAGAAGATTGGTTAAAGGTCTTTATCCTGCACAAAGAAACATTGTTTGATTGTACCAGAAAGAAGGATGACACGCATGGCTTATGGCTAGTGACGGAAGACCAAGACTTTCTATCCTTAATAAAAACATTAACAACAACAATAAAGTAAAAACTCATTTCAGCTAAAATAAGCAGATTGAGAAACCAAAGTTTGCCAATAGCGAGTTGTCAAAGAGAAAGCGTAAAAAGTGGCACTGCTGCAACCAAATATAAGTTTCAGTTGTCCTGCATAAAGGCACAAAATATATCATTAGATCTTTTGCACTTCAAACATACTCCTTACCAGAATTTTAGTTAGACCAAAATAATATGATTCAATGGAAATTAAGTCACACATCAAGCTACTTGGTCTAAGATATCAAGAAGCTTTTGCTATCAGTAAAATCTATAGTTTCTTTATTGGTAAAGATTATTGCTATAAGAGATTCCATAGACCATAGTTCAAAAACTAAGATGGATATCAGATTATATCTCACCAGTTAATTTCCTATACACAGCTCTCACCAGAAACTAAGGTCATATTTTTTTAGATGCCATGAATACCATAGACAATTAAATTGATAGGTTATTGGCTTAGCTCAAACTACAAAAATAACTTGATACCTTCTTATATAGAAATTTGCATATTTACTGCCTTATGAAAATCCAAATTACCTTTCAATTCTTCAGTCATACTGTAAAGGACCTCAAACTAAAAAAAAAAACAACAAGCACACTTGCAGAGACCTAATGTTGTTCAAGCAGTTTTATCACTTGTTTAACTCAACATTAGTTAAAATATTTCACTTAATAGCAAATATTATAAGAAATAAAATAAAAATAAAAAAGAAGAAAAAACCAAGTTGGTATTTTATAGTTTGCCTTTTGATCTCCTCATACCCCTTTTCCCATAAACCTTTGATTACTTCTGGATAAGCTAGAAGAAAAAAAGTATAAAAGTCAGTGAAGGCGACAAAAGTTTCCGTGTTTAACCGAGAAAGGTAAATAATTCACACACTAATTTATACAGTGTGCTACCAAATCCTTACAAAGAAATAAAATCAATGATAACAGAGAGTAAGAAATTTGAATTCGTTTATGGCAAATGAAAAAAAAGCAAAAGAAAAGGAGGATTGTGGGCACGTGATTTTTGCCCTATACGAAATACTCTTATAAAATCCCAAGAAAATAGATTTTATTTTTAATTATTTGCCATTTTATAGGATTTTGTAGAATTTTTATTAATTATTTGCATTTTTATGCACGTTTAATTTTTTATTTTAACCATGAAAAATTACCAAAAATGTCATGCATTGCATTTAGGATTTATTTTTACATTTTTTAAAATTAACCAGTAATTTTTTGTTTTAAAGAAATTTGAAATCACAAAAATAACTTTTTTTTTTATATTTTTTGTCTTTTAGCTTATTGATTTTTCTCTTTTAATTTAGAATTAAGTATTGTTTATAATTTTATAATTAGTTAATTAGTTTAATTTCATATTTTAGATAATCTAGAATTTTAATTTCAAGCATATTTAATTAAAGAAAAAGGAAAAAGGAAAAGTGAATAAGAATTTAATTGCACAATTTACCCAATTCTCACAAATCAAGCCCAATACCATACCCAATACCCTCTTGCCCCAATTTTTATTTTTTATATTTTTATTAAAAGGCAAGACCCAGACCCAAGGGGAATTAGATCAGAGACCTAGCAAAAAAAGAGGACCCTATCCTTAGAGAAAAAGGGGAAACGGCGCATTTACAGGTTTCCCTACTTCTTTTCTTATCGATTTTTCTCAAAAAACCAAAGAAAAAGGTAGCTATCCCTAAACTCCATAGCCGTTTCCCTTTCCCTTTCCCCTACAAAATATCCCCATGTCGCAGCATCCGTCCAAATAGCAGCATCCGTCCAAAATAGCAGAACGAAAGGAGAACGACTACTTCTCCTCCAAAATAGCAGCATCCGTCCAAATTTCTACTGGTTCGGCCATGGCAGAAGTTGTTCCAGTTTGATTTCGGATTCGGAAGTCGAAGCTACGATTTGCTGTTTCTCCTTCCGCTGAGCTCCCGTTTTCCCTTCACTTTTATTTGGTTATTCAAGTTTATCTCTATTGCTGTTTAGAGGTATTTATCTCGATCTTGAAATGTAATGGTTGTTTGGATATCCATGTGCTATAAATTTGCTTAAATTGCAATGATATGGTATGATGTTTGGTTAAAATCTGATTCTCTGTTTTCTTTTTTATTTTCGGAATTAATCTGACTGCAGTTTTTTTTTTTGTGCTCTTCTTTTTCTTTCTGTGCTCTACAACTATGTTCAATTTATTAGTTTTGTGGTGTCTTTATAAATTTTTGTATTCGTTAAATACTGATCAGAATTTTAATTGTTGGAACTTGTCGTGTTTTTTAATGCGAGATCGAAAAGTCGTGAAAAGAGATACGTGTTCCTCTTGGTTTTACTTATGGTAGGTTTTGAGATATTTTATAGTAAATATTTTTTTTTTTTTTTGAAAAATAATTGGTCTTTGATCTTTGCTGGTTACAAAGTAACTACATTTGAAATTGTAGTTATCTCTTTTAAGTTTAAATAATTGTTGCTACTGGTTTGAGCTCACATGAGCTATGTCATATTGGAAAATCGTGAACCAAAGACCAGATTCAATGGGCTTGTGAATTGCATTGAATGCATTTTCACCCTTAATTATATAAATAAGTCGAATGATGACTTCGACATTTCTTCTGTCACATAGTGTGACCTTCAGCGAATCTCATAGGAAGTTAGAAAAACAAATTGACTTATGAATATTTGTATAATACTGTAAGTGCAATTAAATTATTACAACTACGGGTACTGTTCCCGTGACGTGGTTGTGATAACTACCACCTTTAATTTTTTAAATTAGATTAAAATAGGAGCACCTTTAGTTTGCCTTTAAAATATATAATCCTTTTCTTAAAATGATTTGAGGCGTGCCATGCTTAAAACTTATAATACATGGCCCCCACGAAATTAGATCAAGAGCTAATCCTTTTTTTAGAAAATAAATTGAGGTGCGCCATACGCAAACAAAATCCATAATGTATGGCCCTCATATTAATTACTTTAATTAGTATAGAAAATGCCTTGAACTTTCGTAGTTTGCTTTAGGCTCATAGCTATGGGTACGGTTCTTGTGACGTAGTTGTGACGCCTAATCGGGGGTACATTTATGTGACCCGACCACAATTTAATCTTTAAAAATTAAATATGTTGTAGATTGTGGGTACGGTTCCCGTGGCATGATTCTCAATATGTAACAATAATTAAATAAAAGCGGTTATAAGGTAAAAATGCACAATGGGTTAAAACATGTAATAAATCAGATAATATGCCAATCTTAATAGTTTAAGCGACTGTACTAGAACCACGGAACCCGGGAATGCCTAACACCTTCTCCCGGGTTAACATAATTCCTTATTTAGAATTTCTGGTTTGCAGACTTCAAAAGGAAAGTCGAATTTCCTTGATTTGGGATTTAAAAATAAACCAGTGACTTGGGACACCAAATAAATTATCCCAAGTGGCGACTCTAATAAATAAATAATCCCATTTCGAATAATGTCACTTTAATTGGAAAAACTCCCTTATGTACCCTTTCGGGTTGTAAAAAGGAGGTGTGACAAGGATGAAAACAGCAGCTTTAAGAAAATAAAATAAAAACAATAATGACCCAATATAATAGGAAGAGGAGAAATTTCAGTTACCAATTCTCCCTCGAATGGTAGAGATGTTAACCATACCTTCGAGAATCCAAACAACCCATGCCGGCATCCCTTTGCTTGGTGAACAGATGGAAAGGAGATATCAAGTTGCCTACATCATATAGTAGTTGCTCTTGTAAAGCATATCGAAGATGTAATCTCAAAGTATCACCAATAAGAATAGGAATTAAGAGAGAATTCTAGTTTGCTTATGCGTGGTTTGCTACTCAAAGAGAAACATTACACGTGTTACCACTCCAATTAGATGGGCCCAAGTGTACAGTACCTTTTATGTAACTGTTAGTACAACAAGTCACAGCAGTGTTCGTACTCCTTGTTCATTTATATATAGTAGAATATAAGCAATACGTCTTGACGAAATCAAACTATACAACATAATGTATATTTATCAATATCAACTCAAAAACACATCAACTATACCATTCAAGTATTTTACACTTTGGCGCACCTCTTAATAAAATACTAACTCCTAGAAAAAAATAGGTATTTTGACTAAATTACCCATAATTAAAGTTTTCAAATTGTTAACTAGATACATTGGGATATGTAAATAAGGTCAAATTTTGGAAAAACAAAGTTAATTCCTTCTTGATTATATAAAAGATCACTTATTTTGGACCAAAATAAAAAGGGAACAAAGTCACTTATTATGGACCAAAGGGAGTATATATCTTTTTTTTTAGTAATCCACTAGGCAGATTGCCTAGGTCTAGCTTTTATATATATCTAAAAATGTAGAAAACAAATTTCAGGAGGTCTTACAAAATAAAAGGCATAAACTTTGACAATTACATAGACCCTATTATCAAAGTTGAGAAAAGAACTCAACAATGATAGTACATGATGCATTCTAAATAAGATAAGAAAAGGAGTGTTAACAACTAGCCATGCGAAGTCATCACAATTGAGCACCATGTGTAGTCTTCTTGTAACACTGCAACAACTTAGCTTTGTCCATTGAGTCTTCATGTCCATGCTTGTGTTTACCATAACTTCTCCTTCAAGGGAATGAGCACTAGGTGCTAATACCACCCGTTGAATTAGTAGTATATGACAAGGCATGATCACAATAACTTCTCCTACAAAAAGGAATACAGGGTTAGTATAAAAAATGATCACCATGTTCTCCTCCATAAGGATTTGAACATGATGGTCTACTGAATTCTCCAGACCCCTATTATACCTTTCCTTCTCACTCCTTAGTTTTTGGCAACTTTTACCCTCAAGTAAGGACATTGTAATTTATCCACATTCACAATTCTCCTCCCAACTGTGACTAGATGATGAAAACCATGACATTCAATATCCCCAACATCTAGTGCATGATTTTCCAAATGATCTGCCAGTTTATTCCCTTCTCTAAAGGTGTGTAATACCCTACCACTACACAAATCTAGCAAGGTTCTAATTTCTTCCACATGTTCATTGACTATCCAAGGTGGCTTCCAAATCCCCTCAATAATGTTCTTGATCATCTTAGAGTCTGGTTGTATCCAAATATTAGAGACGTCATGATTGATACAATACCTCAAGGCTTCCTGGATTGCCACTGTCTTCGCTAGTGTATTTGTAGCCTCTTGTATTTCCTTTCCACATGCATATATGACATCCCCATGTTCATATCTTAAGCAGTATCCAACAGAACTCCTTCCTGGATTACCCCTTGATGCCCCACCGGTGTTGATCTTTGTCCACCCAACCATAGCAAATTCCCAGATTGCCTTATCGACCTTCAATCTAGGTGTATAGTTTTCCATCATCTGAAGCATGTCTGGTCATCTAGGGGAACATTACGTATACCTGGCTTCCTAACCTTGATAAGGGATTGAAGTGTAATGGACACTTGATATATCACTCTATTAATAAGCACCACCCCTCCATGTTTGTAGTTGTTTCGCCTCTTCCACAAATCCCAAACTATAATACATGATAGCGCTTGAAAAATTGCATTCAATCGAGGAATCACCTGAGCAGTCCAGCATTTCACTACTGCTTGGTGCAAACTTAATCCCTCCAACAACAATCCTGCAAACGAGAAAAATAAGACCAAACTCTTGTGGCAGCATATGATCTGAAGAAAACATGTGAGACTGTTTCTTCATCTGGATTCATGCAACACCAACATTTAGAAGGCATAAAATACCCCAGTCTTCTCCATGCATCATCTAATGGCAATTTACCCTTCCACAATTTTCACATAAAGAAAGATATTTTGAATGGAGGCCCTTTCACCCACATGTTCTTATACAATATAGCAGAATCCCTCCTACTCCTTAGGTATTCCCAGGCTGACTTTACACTAAATTCTCCTTTAGGTTCCAAGCTCTAGCATGGTTTGTCAAGTACATCATGAGTCATTGGTGGTTTCACATTATCCAAAATGTGTGTAGCTAGGTCATCTGGCAGTATTACCCTCAATATATCTTCATCCCAACCTCCTTCATTTACCACATCATAAATATTGTGCATTGCTTCATCACAACAGAAGTCTATAGGTGTTACAAAATAGAGAGTATCCAAGCCTGTCCAATTATCAAACTAAAATAGGGATGATCCCATTTTTGGTTGCCATAAGATCTGATGTTATATAATATCCCTGCATTCAAGCATTTTCCTCCAAACATGTGAACCATATCTCCAAGGCACAACCAATGTATTCAGTTTCTTACAATATTTTTGACACATAAATGAGCTCCATAGTAATGGCTTTGTACGGAAATTCCACCATAACTTACAAAATAAGGCTTTGGATACATCCTGAAGATACCTAAATCCTACTCCTTCTTCATCATAATGCAGACAAAGTTTAGTCCAAGATGCCCAATGACGAGCTCTTCCATCTACTGAATTGCTCCAGAAAAACCTAACAAATAATTTGTGCAATTTGTTTATCACATTGGCAGGCGGATTTACAGCTGATAAGAGTTGAATAGGCATATTTTGTAAGACATGTTTGATCAACACTGCCCTTCCTCATATTGATAACATTTTACCTTTCCAAGATTGTAATTGATCAAGTACCTTTTTGATAAGTCCTTCATAATAATCCATCCTCCTCCTTGAATAGAAAATTGGACACCCAAGGTAAGTGAAAGGGAATCCTTGCAGTACAATCCCAGTTATTCTCTGTACCTTCATCACAACCTCTTCACTTGTGGAATGATGCATATAAACTGCTGATTTGGCCTTATTAATTAACTGTCCAGAAGCTACCTCATATGCACTTAACACCTCCATAATCAATTGAAGTAAGGTAACATCTGATGAGGAGAAGATGATCGTATCATCTGCATATGCTAGGTGATTGATCTTGGGACTCCACTTGGGCAAACCAAATCCACAAAAGTAAAGATTCAAATGAA